ATATTTTTATAATTGCCGCAAATATATTAAAAAAAAAACTCAAATTAATAAAAAATAAATATTTTACACGTTAATCATAATAACAAATCGAAAGAAAAATAAGTTTAAATCGAGGATTATGTCCAAGCAAAAAAATGTGTAAAAAACTCAGAATTGCTAAAAAAAAAAATGTATTAAAAATTATGTAATAAAAATGCAAAAAATGTGACTTGGCTGACAACAAATCAAATTAAAGTAATGTTAGTAATACTTTATGGTTTATTCATATTTTTAATTAAATCCGAGTTTATAATTATGTTACATTAAAAAATACATTTTTTAAATATATTTTTTATTTATTAAATACAATAATTTTATGCATTATCAGAAACAATAATTATTATGTTAAATGATAAAGCGGAAAATCCTTATTAATTTCAATCTTGTATAACTTTTCAAGAAAAATACAACATTCACCTCTTCCAATTAAAGCATCAATTATTATTCCTGCTAGTTCTGACTATCGAGGTTTTACTGTGCCATTAAAGAGTCCGCGCCAAGCACAATCTTATCAATCAACGCTGCCATTCGCACCCCTTCACAAGTCGTAAAATGAAGAGACCGTGAAGAGAAATATTTCAAAAATCTATCCAAAAGACATTAAGCCAAATAAACAGATTGAAGAGCTCAGCGGAACGGAAGCGGGGGGCTGAGCCAATGCCAAATCATTTAGCATCTAGATTTAGCAAAATGATTTTTGTTTTATGCAAAACACGTTTGTACAAAGTACAAGTTTTATTAGCATATAGAACTATTTTTTATCGCTGCAAAGAAATCGCATCAAATTATCGTCAGGCGATTGAGAAATGGCAGCCCGTGAAATTGGGGCGTGTGCGATAAGGCAGGACAAGGTCTCATTCCCGCAAGAATACAAGAAAGAAAAAAAACACACACATCAAATTAGTCAACCAGTTGCATGTGAGGCGGCCCGAGCCACGCCCCGTTTTCTGTTTTTGCTTTTTTATGGTATTGCCCACCTGTTTTAATAGTCGTCGCACACGACAGACAGCCAAGTTTTTGGCCAAATTGCGTGCCTGTTGGCCGTTAATCAAGTTGCCAAATCGCCAAATACGAGGCGAAACTTAATTAAAATTTACAAAAAATAAAACAATAACAATAACAATAATAATAATAGTAATATATGTAACAGCAACTGGCAAAATCCTAATTACTTTCAGCCATAGTTGACTTTCTAATTGATTTAGCCATCAATATATGGACAGCCTTACACAATCCGAAAAAAAACTAAAACAAAAGCTAAAGCCAAGCAAATAAATAAACAACAAAACGTCTCGGGTTCTGTATGCGTAATTTGCCGAAGGCGGCTTTAACTAATTACAGCCAGTCGACTTCTAATTAAACTGTATTCAGCCAGTTGTAGCAAAAGCAAAACTAAACTAAACAAGTTCCTGTGTCGCCCAATAAATCAAGCTCAAATCGCACAGGCGAGGGTCGAACAAAACGTTTACGAACGGGAGATTGAAAGAGAGCTAAAAAGTAAAGAAGTAAGAGATTCGAAAACAGTTAAACCTTTACGAATGCAACACAAAGAAGAATACGAACTAACGGTAAACTAGGAGTACGATTTTCTGAGAGTGCAGCCAGTAGAACGTTGACGAAGATCACAGTAAATATGCGAGAGAGTGGTAAGAACAAGCACAATAAAATGTTTACGAATGCGACACAAAAAAGAACTGAAGCATTAGACAGCGAACGATTTTTGTGAAAGTGCAGCCAGTAAAACGTTTACGAATGCAGCACAAAGAGGAATGCAAATATATGTTTATTTGCATATGTACAATCAGGCACGTGTGGAAAAGGAAAGATAATGAAAGAGGGAAAGAAAAGTTGTGTTGGAGACAACAAGCACGAAAGTCAACTGTTACGCTTGACGAATTTAACAACATCTCATTTGTACAAAAGAAACATAAATAACTGCGACAGTGAGAGAGAAAGTGTCAAGTGATGCCAGCTTATGTCACAATATACAATTACTGAAAGGAAAGAAATGTTTTAAGTGTCACGCATATTTCTTTACATCAACTGAAAGCAAATTGAATACATTTCAGAGCAACTTCTTGAACGCACCTCGCAGTCAGCTTCGCCAGTTCCTAGTCGGATAATTGTAATGAATTCTGATTACAATGTTTGCTGTCTGCTTTGATAACGGAAGTGTTTTTGGTATTATGTTCTCGCCAGACGTATTTACGTATATTATGTATTCTGCTTATCGTACGCATACATAAAGCTGATTAAACAACTGATTTAACAGCTGATTAGGGCAGCGCACTTTGCATGTGCTTTGCCCCGCAACAGAGTAGAGAAAAGACTGAGATGCCAGCTCAACTCTGACGAGGTGCTGGCTTTGGGTCAATGTTCTAATAAAAAGTTCAATTTAACTTGAATTAATTTCAATTGCACACAACAACAATAAAAACAACAACAACAAGGGGAAGAAGTGCCATTAAAATTGAGCGTTCGGTTCGAAGTCTTTAAGCCGGTTCCAGCACAGATGAGAGTTATGGCAACAAAGGGAGGGGCAGAGCGAGAGGGATAGTGTGTGAGAGAGAGAGAGAGGGAGAGATTGCTGCAGGCTTATTGCCAATTCGTGCATAAAATATTTATTCCAATTGCAGCATAATATTTGTATTTTTCTTATTTTTTTTTGTTTTCAATTAAATGCAGTTTCGTTTCCAGTTTGTTTCATTCCATTCCATTCCGTTGCGCTGAAATATTTCATCTGGTTTTTTTTCAACTGTCGACGTGTCAAAATATTTGCGCTTAATTTAAATAAAGTTTACTTTGATGCATGACGTTTGCCTGCGCCCTCTGCCCCTCTGGCCCTCCCCCTCTGTCTGCCATTTAATATTTGTTCAGCATTTTAAATAGGCTTTTACGCATATTTTACAATATTTATTTGGGCGCATGCATTTATGTTTTCTTTATGGAAAAATAAAACACACATTTCACGCTCTGGCAGAAACAAAATCTTTTGATGTTGGAATTTTCGGGCATTAAACTGTTAACAATTAAATAGTTCAAGAGATTTGTGTCCACTTTTCGAGAAACTAATGAGCCCTTGTCAGGCAATATAATTGAATATTATTGTGCATTGATTAAATTATTTTTAAAATATTTATGCTATAATTAAGGATTATAAAGATTTTGTGGCTTAGGGAAAATCTGTGAAAATTAGGCTTTTGCTATAAATTTAAGTATGGAAATTTGTACAAAAATTTCCTTTATTTATTTTAGATATTTTACTTAAAAAGTCTTTGGCTGTGTTTAATCAAAAATAGCTCAAAATCCATCAATATGAATAATATTTTAATAACATGTTCTCAATTCTTGATTTTTTATTCAAAAATTTACTCAAAAAGTGCGCTCGGCATAAAATATTATTACGGAAAAAACTTGCAATAAATATCTTTAAATACTTTCAATTATTTATGATTATTTTTGTTTTAAGTTTAATGAATACACTTTCATAATGCCGGGCTCAAAATAAAGAGAAATTCGCAAAATAATTTGCATTTTTTAATTTAAATCTCGCACGATTAAGCATATTCAACATTCAAGTTAATTACGCCGGAATAAATCGCAATTTAATAGGAAAAAGAAAAAAAGCTCGCATAAAGCAGAGTAAAGTTTACTTTAACAAAAAACAATAAATGTTCGCCAACTATTTATTTTATAACAATTAGAGGCAATGAAATTTTGAGAAAACTTTTCCATGCACAATAAACACACTTCTCGCACCCTTCGGAAAATAAACAAAATGTTTGTTTATTGTAAGCGAAAAGCAGAAAAAAAAAAGTGAAAAGAAATCAAAAGAGGAAAATTATTGCTAAAAATAAAACTTGAAGGGGATCGGAATCGGGAATTCTATAAACCGAAAATCTATAAATAAAAATATCAAATTATATTTAATACTTGTCTAAACAAATCGCTGCCTCGAGTCGGGCATCAAGTTTAATTATTGTTTACATAAAACATTCCACATTTCTCCAGCTTTTTTTTTTTTATTTATTTATTTTTTTTTATATTTTTGTTGCGGCTGTAAATCAAGCGTAAATATAATTAAGCAAAACAAACAGCCAAAGTGTTGTGAGTTGCGAGTTCATCTTGAGATGATTTTCATGCACTTTTCCAACACTCAAAGCGGGTCTTATAAACTTGACGTGGAATATGTAACGCGCAGAAGAAGAAGACACTGGATCGAAGCACCTCCATAGAATATATACTATAAATCGAAAAGTTAGTTTGAAAAAAAGCTCTTGTGTATGTCTTTTTATAGTAAGACTTTTCTTCAAAGAAGAACTTACTTTATTTATATATATATATATATACTAAAATTTATATATATCTTGATCCAATTTGAGATTGATTCATTATGCATTATCTTAATCCCATAAATATTCGAGAAAACAGTCGAAAAATAGCTTCTTTTTATTAAAGTTATTTTCAGGACACTCTGGTTAGGGTATTTAAACTTCGACATGCTCACATGAGAGCCTTTCTATATTGTCATACTTTTGTAAAGGGTTTCAAATAAAGGGTTTAATTTGTATGTCAAACTCTTTCCTCCTCTTCTCTCTATATATCTTCTTCCTCTTCTTATATATATGCATAATTCTAACCACATCGGACGAATCTATATCATATATCTGCCATAGAAAAGAACAGTCGAAAATTGGAAAAACCTTGCTGTTTATCAAGCTATATATATAAAGCAAATCTTATCAAGATCGCATGATCATGATCAAGATCATATAGCTCCATAGGAAGAATCGGTCTAATAAAGAGTTTTTGTATAAACTATTCCGTTTCAACATTTACTTCTCTTTCATTTCCATTTGCATTTTCTCAAGACAAATCTCTGCAAGGGTATTTAATCTTCGGCTAGCCGAAAAAAATAAAGATCTTAACTTAATTTTGAGTAAAAACTTGTGAATACGCACCACCGCCAAAATTGTTGTTGTTCAGCTTCGTGGGTTGATTTATTAATTCGGCAATTTTGAGGCCGTTTTTTTTCTCAAAGCTGTCGTTAAAAATTTAATCTTATTTTTTTAGCAGCTATTCAACTGCTTTTTGTTGATTGTTTTTTTTTTTTGTGCTTTTCTTTGTTTTTTCTCAAACACTTTTGTTTATGGCAAACATTTTGCTGCTGCGTTGATTATTATTTGCTAAAAGTTAATAATTCTGCACACTTTATGGCACTTTTTTTACTATACATATATATGTGTGTGTATATATATGTGTGTGTGTATATATGGCATATATATATTGGATTTATGCTGTGTTATCGGCCGATTTGTGAAGGCTCAAAGTCTCAAACGAGGTCAAACTTTTATCTGCGAGACGAAACAACAATAAATATTGCGACCACAGACAACAACAACAACAACAACAACAAAAGACAACAAAAGACAACCCCAAGTGGCAAGTTTGTGTTGTTTTTGTTTGGGGTGGTTGTTGTTGCTGTTAAGGGTGCTTTCTTTTAGCCGTTATAATCTCCCGATGTGCTTAGCAGCTCATCAAATCAAATAGCAACAAAAGCGTTAAAAAACGTAAGACATAAAAAAATCGGAACGCTGCACTAACAACACACGAGGTTAAGAGTTCAACTTGAAAGCAAACACTTTGACATTTAACTTGAAACGAAGACGAAGACGACGACGTCAACAGCGACGTTGACAGCGACGCGCGCGTTGTTAAAGGCAATTTCTGTTACGCTATTTTCATGGGATAAACCAAAGTCGTAGCCGAATGTCGTTGTCGTTGCCGTTGCCGGTGCGGGAGCTGCACAACCTGCCGCGTTGAGTTTCGCACACGAAATGAGGTCAACAAGATACTACGTTACGTTACGTTTTTACGTTTCGGCAAGCAAAGCCCAACATGAAAGTAGCGCAAGGGCGCCACCTGCTTTGGGGTGGCTGGCAATTGCAGCACAGGCAAAGAACGAACGAGAGAGACCGAGAGAGAGAGCGCGTGCCTTCGTGAGTGCTCTCTTACGTTCCACACACGCCACGCCGGCTTGGCGTGCGTGCGTGTCTGCCTGCGTAACACACTCGACGGCGGCGCTCTCTCACGCTCGCTCTTCGATGGAATTCCTTTTCTCTTTCTGTTGCGCCCGGGCAAGCGTAGCGTCTTTTTAGCGGCTTTGATTATTACGTCGTACAAACACAATGTTGATTACATATTGGTCGAGTAGGTCGTGTAACTAGCTTGTCGGCAAGGCGGAGAGAAAGAGAGAGGGAGCGGGGGGGGGGGGGGGTGTCTATAATGTTGTTATACTTCTGGGTCAAAGGCACGTCGTAAAAAGTAGAAACTCAATTGATAAGCCATAAAATGCGCCCGCTCGCCAAGCTGCGTTATGTTGCACACAGTTTGACAGGCACTACGCAAGTATTTGCGTCACAAGCCGCATGCAAATTGCATGCGAGCCAACTTTTCAGCCGCCAGATAAGAATCTAGATAACGCTTTTTACTAACTGGGTCAAATCTGGGCTGTTTTTTTTTTTGTACTAAAATCTAAAGATGAACTTTTTTTCTTTGAACTTGTTCTTCGCTAGCTTTGAACTAGTTCGCAGATTTTGTTCAATCTTTCCTCTGCGAACTTTTTAATTTATCTTTTGAGCAATTTGTTTAAACTATAAGCAACATTTTTTATAGGAATATTTATTATTTTGCTTAAAATGTTTTTTATTTTTTATATTTTCATTCACAGTCAACTTATTCTTTCACAATTTGAACTGGAACTAGTTCAAGTTTTATTCTTTCTTTAATCTCACAAAGAATTTCACTTTATTAAAGGAACTTTTTAAACTATTTGCGAAAACTTTTGATGTTCAGTTTATAAAATTATTTACAACAATTTCTGTTCATTTTTTTAATGTTTTATTATTAATCAATTTTTTTAATAATTTCTTCCTATTCGTTGAAATTGTTCTTGAATATTTAATTAAATATTAATGGATCACGCTTTATGAAAGAAACCTATGATAAGTTTTTAAAACCAGATTTATGAAAGAAACTTGCAAAATTTCTCAATTTATTCAAGAAGTTTCATTTAATAATTTATTAATTCTTTTTAAACATAATTAAATTGAATTTGTTTCAAAAACTTATGTTTCTTTTGTAAATCTTTTTTTAAGAACTTATCATAAGTTTCTTTCGTAAATATTCAATGCAACTATAACGCAAAATGTCTCAAAATATTCTGGATAAATCAAATTGAGATCTCTGCACGTAATACTTATTATATTATTTTCAAAATTTTTAAATAAAAAATATTAATTTAAGCTTCAATTAAGCTGGATTTTGGTTAAGAGAAGCATTTTTTTTTTTTAGGTTAATTCCGATCACATGTGTGATTAACCCATTCGCATAAATTGAAAAAAGCAAAAACAACGGTAAAGATATTGACAAAAAGTTTTTTTTTTAAAAAAAAAAGCGGCCTTCAATTTGAGTTTGTTTTTTTCGAACGCGTTTTCGAGTTGTGCAAAAAGTCGCGTTTATAATAAAACATTAGGCGAGGGTATGACAAGTGGAGGGGGAAGGGGAGGGGGGGGGGGGGCTAGGCTTTGGCGTAGTTTCTAATTGGAGCTGCCGCTTGGCCGGCTGCACAAATAAACAAACACAAGAAAATAAATACAAAATAAATAAAACACACACGCGCGAACACAAAAAGCAAATAAATTAAACAAATAAATAAATAAAAAAATTGTAGAGCGCACAAAATTATTAAAAACGATTGTTATTGTTGTTGCTGCTGTTGTTATTTAGTGTTGATTTATGATGCTGCGGCAAATGCGAACGGAAGCGCTTCGCCAAAGCACGTAACTAAATATTATGACGTACACTGTGGCACACAGCGGTTTTGGAGCCACTTGTCTACTCGAGAGCGAGCGAGAGAGAGCGAATCAGTGGCGATTGTGTGCGTGTGTGTGTTGGCTAACGTCACAGAGCTGCAGAGCGCGACGCGTCAGACACGGCAAGCGTTCAATTGTGAACTGAGCAACGGGCAGCGTCGGCGAACGGAACAACAGTTGCAGCGACGCGTTGCGACGTCAGCAACTGGCTTGCATTGGCCGGCGCTGTCGCTGCTGCTGTCGGTGCTGCTGCTGCTGTGGTGAGTTTTGAGCGTACTATGAAAGTATTTCATTCAGTAAGCGCAGCCGGCAAAGGTTTTTGTTGCTTTTTGTGTGCTATTTAAACAGCTGCGCAGCTTCGCTTACTTACGTCACTGCAGCGCTGGCAGTGCAGTCGCCAGTGGCAGCAGCAGCGGCAGCAAAAAGTAAACAAATAGCCAAATATAACAACAACAACAACAACAACAAAAACAAAACAAATGCTGACGTAGCGGTCGCTGTTGCGGCTGCTCTGAGAGGAGGTACCGGAATAATAAATTATTTAAGTATTACAACAACAACAACAACAACAGAAACATATAATTGCTGTACTGGCAGCATCCACAGCCAGAAAGCATGAATCATCAGTCGAGCGCAACGTGTGCGTGGGCGGGACGGGTTGCGTGGCGGGGTGGGCTGCGTGGTGGTTACGCGAAGCTGTCTGCGAAGGCATCCCAAAACAGAGCCAATGCACATGTGTGTGCGTGCGTTCGTCTTGGTGAAAGAATGCGCCGCAAATGCCAATGCAAAGAGCAAGAGCGAGAGAGCGTACGTTTTGGCTCTCTTCGGTTTGTGGGCGCTGTGCATTGGCATCCACACAACAGAAATTCACCACGAACACGCGCCACTGGGCCAACGCTGCCGCCGTTGGGACCAACAACAGCAACACGAACAACACGAACAACAAGAACAACAACAAAGAGCTGCCAAAAGAGAAGCGCGCATATTTTTGCTCTATTTTAAATTATTAATGAGCGGCTTGTTCAGTTATTAAAAGCTTGGGAATAACAAAAGCAACAAAAAGAGCAAAAGCAACAAGAATGTGTTGCGAAACGTGCACACATTTCCCTCAGGTGTGCGAGAGAGTGGGCATTAAAGAGCGAGCGAGAGAGCGAGCGAGAGAGCGAGCATATGAAGCAAAGTTGCAGCCGCAGGAAGCGAATTCCGCAAATTTGATTAGGCGACCTCCTGTTGGCTTCTATTTGGGACTTGGGCTTTGGCCAATGGATATTTGATTGTGGCTGGGCAATAAAAAGATATGACCCCAAGTACCGTAAACCTGCTAAACATGGGCCATAGGCCAGGTAAACGGGGCTCCAGTTTATGGCAATAATAAAAGTAAATTAAATGAAAGGTTCGAACGGCTGATTCGAAATGGAACCAGTTTCTAATTCGAACAAATTGGAGCTCGCATTAAGTGCACACAAGTGGAACTAGTTCCAATTGGTATATGCGATTTCACACAAGTGGAACTAGTTCCAATATGCGATTTATGCAGGCTTTAAGCTGAGCTTTTCGCTTTGTGACTAGTTCTTGAATAAGTTCCAGTTCAAAAAATAATTATCTTTTTAAGGATTCTAATAACAATGCAGTTTGTATGCAGAAAGTTAAAAGAACTATATGGAACTAGTTCAACTAACATAGCTTATGCTTTAAAGAACTTACGCTGGGATACAAAAGTGTGTACAATTTCCAAGTAACAATATCTATAACGAACTAGTTCGACAGTTATTTTATGCTCAAAAGAACTAGTTAAAAAGCTATTTTATAGTATAAAGAACTGATTGCAGAGCTACTTTATGCTAAAACGAACTAGTTCACGTTGCAAGTTGCCACTGTGAATGGCGCTTAAAAAGGTTCATGAACGAACAAATGAGCTAGATTTATATTATCAGCGAATGGTAGACACGAACTAGTTCCAATTTCTAGTTTGTTTTAAGCTAAGAATAATTCTTTTAACCGCTTTCAGCACAAAAGGCTTTTGCTTAAATGCCAATTTGCTGCTCATTAAATGATGCCTTGACTGATTTTGTATTCTTAGAGAACTAGTTCAACTATTGAGTCACTTAAATGACTGACGTAGTTAAAGGTAAGCAAAATCTATTCAGTTTCATTACAATATTATTTTTTCTATTCGACCAGCTAGCCAAACTTCGTCTTTTATAGTTTTGAAC